CATTTTGTCTGCTACAGATTTGGGTTTTGAATAGTTAGACCTTGTTTTGAATTGGGATTTAATCATCACAGTATCCAATTTTACAATATCCTCCATTATAATTAATTTTAGAGATGTGTAACTTTTAAAATCTTCCAGGTTTAACCAAAGGAGCTGGTTTGTTACCAGACGGTCCTCTGAATGCAGCTGTGGGAGGGACGGTGATGTTCACCACAACACTGACTCCACCAGAGAAACCCTTTATAGCAGTGGGCTGGAACTTTGGTGACAGAAACATAATCAGTTCAAATGTTGAAAACATAACTGGCCCAGAGTATGAAGGCAGGATCACCTATTTCACATCTACTGCATCTCTGGAGCTCAGGAATCTGACTCTTAATGACAGTGGAGAATACAGAGTTACCGTTACACCACAGGGAGAAGCACAAAAGCATGGAACCACCAGACTGTCTGTACATGGTGAGCAAATGTTTCATATTGCATCTCATTCAGTACTGAAAGGAGATTATGACAATTGAGAAATAAATAAAATATTGTGTCTGTTAAAATAATTGTGTTTACATGCTCGGTAGTTTCAAATAAAATCTGTAATTATGTTATTACATAGTATAATACTAAGGCAAAACAAATAGCAATAATTGCATTATAAACACCCTGAAAACATAATGACCTACATTAACACCAGCTAAGACTGAACAGTATGCAGAAAACAATCACATTGTAATTACTTACTAGATATTATAAGAGTCATTGTTTCAGCGGTAATGGTAATTTTTTTTAATAAAGCAAATTTGTAATATAATGATGTGATATTTTCTGGGGTCTGTATCAAACCAGCATGTTCCCTTCCAACTGGAGAAGATTATTTGTAGGCCGGGCATGTCTGTAACACAACAATGCTTGATTTATAGTGGTGTGTTGTGACGCATTTTACCTTTATCCAAAAACTGCAGCTTCTGTGATCTGAGATTTAAGACAACTGGTGCTTAGCAATACCCTTATATTTACTGGTATGACTAAGTACTGACTTCCATATTGTGTTTAAACATGTAGTCTTAATGGATGCACTGAGTTTGCTTTTATTTTGGTACACCTGTATGAATCTGTACATATTTAGCTTTTGTTGAGACTGTATCAGATAGATTTTGATTGGAGTTAAGGTCATACACACTAACTGGTGCTAAATTGGGCTGCAATATATTTTTTGCCACAGGCAATTGATTATAAAGTGCAACCACCAAAATGTGCAGCCTAAACCATTATACCACTGAGTTAAATCAATGACTGTTTGACAAAATATCAACAAAAACTGAATTTCCCTCTAATGTGCAAATCATTTAGTGGAAACCCCAAATGGCCTTTTAGGTCTGTGTATCATTATCGTCATTAAATAAGCGACATGTTTTTTGTTGTGGCAGGAGCTAGTGTAAACTTTCAGCTTGCAGCCATGAATTCTCAACATGCCATAATAAATATGGGATTCATTCTCAGCCACTTCAGTGTTTCCCTCTACTGTACCTTTGTAATGCAAAGAACAATATTGTTTTTCACCCACAGAGCCAGTTTTTAATGTAATAGTAAATGCCAGCAAATACTTGTTGTTCCCACTGATGATTAACATCTTTAATTCTCTTAATCTGCTGAATAGGACAGTAATAATATAAATTGATATCTACCTTAAATGTAGCTGATTTGAGGTGGTTTACAGTGTGTTACTCAGATGATCTCAAATGATTTACAAGCAGTACATGATGATTTGTCAAATTATTGTAGCTAGCTAATTTTTTTCACCTCTATTCCCACATTTAGTTTACTGTTTACTAAGTCAGGCAGTTAACATGGTAATCAATATTAAGTTGACTGTTAAGTTGTGTTTGACACCAGCGTAGAAAGGTGTGTGATAGAAAAAATGTAGAAAAGCCAGATTGTAAAAACCCCTAATACTTTAATTCTTTACTTCAACCCACAGTGCCAGTCTCTAATGTAACGGTAAATGCCAGCGGCACAGACTTAGTGGAGTTCAGCAGCTCTGTCCATCTGTCCTGCTCCTCCTCTGGATCCTCCCTCTCTTTCCTTTGGCTGAACGGCAGCTCTGAGGTTACAGCCAGCGACAGAGTTCAGCTCACTGATGGAGGCTCCACTCTCACTATAGTTAATGTGACCCGCTATGACCAGGGACCATTCAGGTGTCGTGTGTTCAGTCCTGGTCAGTAATGGTACAAGTGATCCTGTAAACCTCACCATCAGCTGTGAGTTATTAACCTACATGTGCATAACATTTATCTTGCAAATATATTCATGCAGTTTGCTCTGTGCTGTGGACATACAGCTTCAAAGATACATCTTTGATCTTCATTTGATGGTGTACTGAGGCTTTGCACTGAGCTAAGCTGCATGTTAAGTAGCATTTTCTTCAAGCTGCTAACATTACTACTTTGTTGTTTTTTACTCCCCATCTACTCCCCCCACTGTAGATGGCCCAGAAAATATTTATTTCACAATATCTCCGACACAAGAATCCTTTGAGGAAGGATCAAACATCAGTCTGTCCTGTTCAGCTGTCTCCAGACCCTCTGCCTTGTTTAACTGGTTTCTGAATGGAGACCTGCAGTCTGATACTGGACCAGAGCTCACACTGATAAACATTCAGATGAGTCACAGTGGTAACTACAGCTGCCAGGCCTTTAACAAAAAAACCATGAGATATCAACTTCTCAGCCATCAGTTGTCTCTGTACTGGGTAAGTTGAAATGAATAGGTTTTTACTGTAGTGACACATTCAACAAGATAGCATTTTATTGTCAGTAGTGGCATTTGGATATAGTACTGGAATTAGCATTCTGTTAAAGGTGGGGGTTGCCATTCTGGACAAATCCAATATCACAACAAATACCATGATTTGGAGCAAATGATGACACAGCAAGTAGCTATAGTTGTGGGTTAGCAAACTTACGCCACAGTTGCTGCAGCAAAGCTAAAATGCATAATAAAGATAATATAGTTAGTAGTAAACGTTTCCCATTTACAGAGCCAGGGCTGTGTTGTTGTTTTTTTGCGCACACACACTAAACGGACAGCTATGGACCTTGAGGAGCTATTTACTGTATTTGACAAAAAGACGTGTATCGGATTAGAATCATATACCCCAACTTTAACGCCAAATAATTTGTGTTTGGCAAAGTGTGCTCTCAGATCAGATTACCTTCATCTTAAATAACAAAAGACAAGAAAAACATTATTTGTGTAATCCAAGGAAAGTTTTTATAAATTGCATACAATTATGCAACACTGCAATCCAGCAGAGCCCTTATTTATTGATATAATCAAATTATTACGATGTGCTATGATGCCATGTGGCTCATACCAGCAAGAAAGCTAATGTGCACAAAACTATAACGATGGAATCTAGGATCTCTGATTGGCCACTCGCAATAGTTATGACTTTACATCAAAACTAGTTAGGTTAGTTAGTAATTGTGGTGCAACCAATTTTAGTAGCTAATTTGTTACAAACTAACTAAGTAGTAGTTACTAAGCCTCGACTTTGCACTCTAACCTAGGAGAGAACTTAGGAGAGAACCCAGTGTAGGCCCCTAAAGCGATGGGCTTGAGCTGGTTCTTCTTATTTATCCACTGAGGGCCAGCCAACTCATCCTTGTTCATTTATTCTTACAGGTCGGTAAAAGTCACAAAGCACTTCACATCTAATTAGAATGGTAGGGTTTTTTGAAATGGGAAATGACGTCACAGCAGAAGATTACATGCTACGATGTGATACAAGTTACTCATCTATCTCCTTAAATGTGTAACCTAAAAAATAGGCAACTGTTTACTAACAAGTTTGCTGTATGTCTGTGAAGGTTCTCAGTCATCCAGGTCACAGGTATCCAAAGAAAGTTGTATCACTTATCAACAATAATTATGTGTCAATATTGTGTTTACAGCTTTTTCCACTGATTCCAAGAGGCAAAAAACTTTATTTCAGGTTTAAGGATTTCATGCTCTATTAAGACTAACTTGAGACAATAACATTTGAACAAATGGAGAGCATGTTACCTGGCAAAGATCACGACTCTTGCAACTGTCGACTTAATTCAATTGTTAAAGATTTTTTTCTTCTTCATTATTCAGTGTGGGAATGACCATATTGTCTATCTAAGAACTTAATGCCATGTCATGTAATATGACGAATATGATATGATTTTTTTATGATGAAGTTGTAATGTTTGCTCCTTCACAATGATATTATATTTATTTACTCACCCAATCAACCCCATAGTAACACAGTAACAGTCAGTTGTTCATGTTTTCACACATTCTGTGATGTTTTGTTCTACAGAGAGAATATCAGGTGCTTCTGTCAAATCATCAACAAACATGCCGATTGAGGGGAGCTCTGTCAACCTAACCTGTGACGCAGCTGGCACTGTGTTTACCAGAAAATGGGTGAAGGACGGCTCAAATCTGACTCTGACTAAAACATGATACTTCACGATAACAACAGAGTGCTGTCTTTTATCAGTCTGAATAAAAAAGACAGTGGAGAATATTCCTGTAAAATCAGCAACCCAATCAACACTGAGGAAGCTACATACACCGTGGTTGTTAACTGTAGGTAACACACTGTACAATGTACATTTACTGTTCAAAATGATGACTGCCATAAATAACTGTGTGCGACTGGTTTTGGTTTGTCAGTATGTAAAACAAGTTTAAGTTTTATAGTCTTTATTATTTGTGCTGCTGTAAGAACTTTACAACTATGTTTTTTTCAGATGGACCAGAAAATGTTCAAATCACAGGTCCAAATGAGATCCATATTGAACAGACCTTAACATTAACCTGCTCCGCTGAGTCCACACCATCTGCTAGTTACACCTGGACACTGAATGGGGCTGAGTTACAGAATTCTGCTATATTTACAAAAAACATCACTGAACTTTCTGACAGTGGCAACTATATCTGTGAAGCAATGAATAATGTAACTGGAAGAACATCATCATCAGTGGTCCACCAGTTGTCTGTAACAGGTAATAAGATGGAGTTGATTGCAGTTTCTTGTTGTTGATGTTGCCCACATTAACCCACAATGTTAAATTGTTATGTTATGTTTAAACAAATATTCGCACCTAGTGGGCTGTGAAGTCACAGGAAAGTTGAAATGGTTGTATGCTTTATATCCATAGGCATAAAAGATTAAAAGAATGAAGACAGAATGGTGTTAAATCATCTTCTTGTATCTTTTTTTTATTTTAGCTGTCAAAACTTCACCCTGTTCAGCTGGTTGCATCGCTGGAATAGTAATTGCATGTTTGGTCATCTGTGGAGCAGGTTTTGGTGGAGGATACTACATATATAAAAAAAGGTATATATAAGACATTTTTTTAATTATTTAGGATCAATACCAATTATGGCAAGTGTATTGGCTCAGTATTGTTGAGTTTGGATTTGCAGGTCAATTCAGTTTTAGTCATAAACCATGGATTACAGGGTGGGAGGGAGTGTTAGGATCTGAAGAGAACAGATAGGGAAAATAGGGAACTAGAATCCGGTTGTGACGGTTAAACTCTGTTTACTTTATCTACAGCAGGTCAATGTTCAAGGGGGTCACCTGCTTTTGCCAGTCTCACAATATGTATATTGTCTATTTAGCCCCGAGCCTGACTTTAGCTTTCACTCTGACTCTCATTTTCATCAGTGTTCATTCACCCTTACAGTATCCTACTGTACATTACCCTGTTTAAAAATCAGGGAAATCACCTGGAGGTATTTGTGTGAAAAATAGCTGGTCACTCATTTCTCTTAGATTTGGTCAGGAATTATTGTATTTTCAATATTGATCAGTTTCATACAGTACTTTTACAGCTCCATTAAACTCAATTGACTTTAAGATTACATAAATTATATTCTATTAATGTGAATGATTCTGTTGATCAGATTAACATAATTCATCAACAATAATTCATTTCTGGATTTGGTGTTTTACTCACAGGTGCAAGAATTTAAATACCTGTTCGTTGTATTTGTTTTTTTTTATATTATTATTAATAGGTACATTAACAGCATCAAGCAGGCTACCTTTTAACAATCTTTTATTTTAAATTCAGAATAAACAACAAACCTCAGGCACATGATACAAGTAAGTAGGCTATTCATCTGACTTACACATGCAACACGTCGTCATACCAAAACGACAAAATAGGGCAATTATCAAGTCTCCCCAAACGACATACAGTATAAGACTGCTTCCAAATCGACATCGGCCATATGTCCATTGGAAAATGCAATGACATTTTGACCATTTTCCAAAACAACGAGCATTGGCAAATACTGGTCCAGAGTCAGGCTTACCGGACCTTCAGTATAGGCCTATGTTGCGTAACGTTAAAAAAAAAGGTAGTAGTTTGGTTAGTTTTAGGCAACAGAACTTTATGGTTAGTTTTAGGAAAATATTGTGGCTTGGGTTAAAACAAGTACATTACGTAAGTCAGTAAGTTCTCTACAAAACGTTATTTAACTTAAAACTTGTCTTCTTTGACTTTCGTTTACACAGAACTTGAGTCTCGGTTTCTTGAGGGGAAAGTCCTGAGTTTACATCCATCATCCATTCACCACCACCACCCTCCTTAGTCAGACTTTGTCGTTCCTTATACTATGTCACCTGACTTCTTCTACCACCATGGGTTGTGGCCTTACAAAAATCATAAATTTGGGTCGTAGTGAGCTATACTTATACAGCTGTTTTTGGATGAGGACGACTGGATCTAAAAATCACTGGATCAATCATCAATCACAAATAAATACTATAAAGAATCACAATCACATGTATTGAGTTATGAAATGTACTGTAACAAAGCTACTTTTTTGCCTACAACAAGAAGAACATATGTATGAGAACTTCAGAGGTATATGAGAACATATAAACTCAACTGTCTTTTAAAGTAAGTTTTCAACTCATTTGTCTGATTTAGTGAAAAGGCCTAAATGTAATTTGAAGGGAGAAGCACCAGAGGTTTTGTTTCTGTGGAAATCATTTTAACTCTGTTTGGATCAAAACAGCAACTCTCTAATTTAATCAGTTGTTTATATTTTTCCTGCAGATGATGAAAATAAAAATGTGTAAAGTTTTCACCTGCGCCAAGAAGAGACGACACACCAATGTTGTCGGGGGGTGTTTAGAAATTATACTATTCTGACTATTTTTCTTCTATGTTTGGATTAAATTTTCTTTTAGATAAGTAATTTACAATGCAGTAAGTCATATCATTAACAGAATTACCAGTGGATCTGAAAGCAATATAAATGTGCTTAAAGCTGCATTAAGTAACTTTTTGGACACTTGTAGGCAGAAGAGCACCATAACATAATGAGACATAGCAGCCCTGATATATTATCACCTAATTGTTTTTTGTTTTTTTTTATAACTAATGTGTTGCCATTTATACATCCAGTACATATCAACAGCAGCATTTCTGCAGCATTTCTGGCCACTTGTTAAATAAAATATTCACTCCCATTTTAGAAGGTAGCATATGCATTAGATTTCAAATCAGAGCTTTTTTGCTAAAAATGTCTGCCAGTGTTTATGAGAGTGAAATGTCTTCAAACCCAAAACAAAGTGTAAATACAGTAAAATATTCCAGTAAACTGTAGTACTGGGTAATGATTCAATATATAATGAGTTGAAAATAGCTTTTATTACACCTTTTCTGGTGTGTTTGCTCTGTGTATATATAATGTTTGCTTTTATTTTCCTGTTCTTTATTTTGTCCAATCTCAGCTTTGTAAATCAATGGATTAATATTGGGTTAGGATGAGAAATTATTCTAATTAACAAGATACATCAATATTTTGAAAACTGCAACATAAAATGTTAATGCTTTCTCTGTCATTTGTTTTGACAGCAACTGAATATGTAACAGTCTTATAAATATAATGGTCAAAATCTGGTAAGCATAGTATTTTAATAAATCTGTATATATCCTCTTATTGTTTACTTGAGTTGATACATTTGACTTACTCACAATACATACAAACAATAAAGAAAAGTTAGTCTTGATGGTTGACTTAACCTTATGCAGAACATAAGTTAAACCCAAGAGCAACCTGCTTTACTATGGAGCTAAATCAGGGCCGAATGTTTTGTTAATTTAAAAAAAAACTAATAGAAAAACTAAAACTTGAAATTGAACATTTAAGTTTTGGTCTTAAACTTGAAAAATACAACCATGTATTCAAAATAAAAATAAGTGTATGATTTTTTTTCAGTTTGAATGAAATGTTGATTTAATTCTGGAATTATTTTGAATAAATTATTAATTTTCATTTTTCACTTTTATTCTCCACTAATCCACAACTCCACTATTTTGATATTTGAGGACTTATTTTTTAGTTCCACATTTTTTGTTTTCAGAATCAAAGCAGTTTTATAGTTTTTTTTGTTTGTTTTTTTTAAACATTCAAATCTTTTCAGTTTCAGATCAGTTTTTCACTTTCAGATCAGTTTTTTTTTTCAGTTTCAGACTTTCGGCCCTCCACTAATTAGCAGAGTTTCAGGAGCAGGACCACACATCAGTCCCATCATTGCCAGCAGTTCCATAAAAACCCACATGTCCCATCTCCTCTTCCCATTGACCACTTTGTAAAAGAGACATCTATAAACTAAAAAAGGACAACTTTAACAGCAATATGGTAAATGATTACTCTGTGTTAAACATTTTTATTCCATGGTTTATATTTTTATCTGTTGAACTTGGTTAAGCCAAGTATATGGCTGCCATCTTGGCAGCTGGTATCCACTTCTTATGATAAATTTATGATGCACAAATTGATTCAAATGTTGCTAAATACTGATTGATGCCTGGCAATACATGACATCAACTTTTCATATTGTTTGTACATGATATTTATAATTATTATTATAAAGTTTTATTAGAACTGGAAAATGACAATAACAGTACAATTTGCTGTAAAACAGACCAACCACTTCTCAAACACATACACACTGTAAACCCCAATAAGTTCATAGTACTCAAAACTTTTGTAGAAACTGATTACATAATAACTTTTGAGGTAAGTAACTTAATATTTTTAAGTTAGATTTTTTTAAAAGTTACAATCTAATCAAACTTAAAAAATTAAGTTACTTACCTTTAAATGTTTAAGTTTGATTAGATTGTAACTTTTAAAAAAATCTAACTGAAAAATATTAAGTTACTTACCTTTAAATGTTTGAGTAAGATTTTTTTAAAAGTTACAATCTAATCAAACTTAAACATTTAAAGGTAAGTAACTTAATTTTTTTAAGTGCACTATGCTTAAAAATATTTAACACTCGCACATTTTTTGTTTCTCCATACTTCATTATTTTGATCCAATGGTACTAAAAAAATATGCTTGTGTATAACCCACAAGCTAATGAAATTTACAAGTTAAAACTACGAAAAAAAAAAAATTACTTCAGCTGTACATTTTCTTTTTTCTTTTATTCAGTCTTAATTTTTATACAAACATGTCAGAACATCAACAGCAGTCAACAGTTAAAACTCTGTTCTAGCTCAGGTGTCTAACCATGTGACTCAAGTCACAGTTTCACCACCTACCCAAAAGCTGTAAGCCTGTTAAGCAGTGAAATTTCTTAAAATATTTAGTTACAAACCTACATGGACACAGCAAATATGTATGTTTTAGTGTATGGTTGTGCATTTGTCTCTGTGTGTGTGTCTCTGTGTGTGTGTGTCTGTGTGTGTGTGTGTGTGTGTGTCTCTGTGTGTGTGTGTGTGTGCGTGTGTGTGTGTGTCTGTGTGTGTGTGTGTGTGTGTCTGTGTGTGTGTGTGTGTGTGTGTGTCTCTGTGTGTGTATGTGTGTGTGTGTGTGTTGTGTACATATGTATCTCTACATATTAAACAGGAACAAGATCATCAGGAACTAAGCAAAGTGCTTAATATAAAAAGTATGAAAATAAATGCTTATTAAAACAGCATTAGTAACAGCAATCAAAGTGAAAATGGAATAAAAAAATATACAAAAAAAGTAAATTAAAAGATTTGGTGGGCAAGACATAATCTGCCATATGTAAACAGTTTCAAATGCTTTGAGTAACATTGTGTTCAACAACATACTATAAAGTTACCATACTGGGAACCCCCAAAACACATCAACATGCAGACAAGAAAACACATGTGTAAACACTACTCTTAAGTTAGCCTACTCTTTCATTAACAGGTCATTTTTGAGACTCAGTAGGCAGGGTTTAAGTGGTTTACCATCATCAAGACCCATTAGGATTTTCTGGATGAATGTGAAAGTGTGAATGAGTTTCTTGGGATAGTTCAAATGCAATGCATACATTAACCCAAACAACAATGCAAATGCATCAGCCAAGTTAGGGATATCACTCATCACAACATCGTCTTCCACAACAATAGAAATACTTGCAGGACTGAAATGAACTGGATCTGTAGTGTCCTCTGTGACTGTGACAAGAGCAACAGGAGTGTCGATGCATGGCTCATCTGACTCCTCCACCTGAAAGACACAGAGGATACAACTGTTAGGTTAACTTGAAGAAACACAACAACTGCATGTACACTCACTGGCCACTTCATCAGGTGCATGTGTGTAACCCAATGCAGTCCAATACAACAGCTCTCCTTTAAATTCTACGTTTATGAATTTTATACATTTTCAGTTTTTGTTGACATTGTCAGAAAGGTGATAATTCTACTTCATATTTATTACTGAGGTTGTAATACATGGTGGTGGCATAGTGGGGTGAATTATATCGAATGGTGTTCCTAATATTTTGCCCCTTTCTTGTATGTTAAAGCAGTGGACAAAATATTAGGAAACCCATTCAATATAATGCCTTATATACATAATAATATAACACCCTAATACATAATTTTCACCCACTGTCTATTCTACAGCCCATCATAAAAGTGGTAAGTGTAGCAGCAGGTATTTTACATTTTAATATCATACAGGTTGTTATTTAATATGTAAGTGTACCCAGGTAGGTATTTTGCAGCTGAGCATTAAACAGGCTATTAATATGGAATTAGGTATTACATAGTAGCGGGTGCTGTATTGTGATATGTAATGTACAGCATCTCATAAAAGGTATTTTTAAGTAATTTTTACAGAGAGAGAGTGAGGGGGTGTGTTATTTCATGAGGTTAAGCTAAAAGGTCAATCAAATGATCAAATGATCTTCTCCAGGTCTGGGTAAAGTTAGGCCAGGGCTTTGTGAGAGATTAAGGTTTGGGATTACCTGAGGTTAGATCTTTTACATTTATTTGTATGCTTATATGCACATACTGTATATCCATGTACACACTAAGTACAGTCCATTTACCATTACAATGACACCTACACACAAGGTTTACTAAGGGGTAACAAGATATAGTTAAGTGGCTGCTAGAGATACTAATAGTTCTCTGAATAGAATACTTACATTACAAGTCTTGAAGAACTGTGGGTCCTCCTCACGCATGTATACCGGAAGGGCACGAAGGGCTACAGTACGCTTCATATTGACATCCTGCACTTCCTGGAAGAACAAGCAAAAATGAAAAGTACAGATTTCATTCTTCTTTCAGTGTGGATGTTCTGACCAAATTTCATGGCATTTGGCAAAGTGTTGGACAGACAATGACACCCTGAGGCCCTGCTGTCCAGTGGGACCTGAAGCTCAAAGTTCATTAACTCACCTGGAGATCATAAATCTTAAAGATGTCACGCAGCGCCTCTGATATCTTTCCGGTTCGTGCCGCCTTCTGCCTATACAAGGCCATCAGTCCAGGTGTATGTTGGTCAAGCACAGCATAGAACTTGTTCCGTAGGTTGACATTTGTGATGCGTTGGAACTCAGCACAAAGCTACAAAAACAAAAACAAAAATAATTAATACACTGTTGAGCAACATGGTCACATGCAAAGTGATAGTTCTTACCCACAGAGAATAGTGGCATTTGCTGTTCCATTTGAATGTGAGACATATTCAAAATTTGGCATTGAAATATGTGTGAATAGTGGCATAAAAGAGAAGTGAGTGTGTTTTACCTGTGATTCAATCCGAAGAGCCGGCCATTTCCCCAAGAAGTCCTTCACCTGTGGATTTTCCTGAATTATCTCCTGGCGACGAAGGGCAAAGGTCTTCTGCATTAGCATTTCTATCAAGCGTAGGTTTTGCTGACTCTTCTGAACTTCGTCCATAATCTGCAGTCTCATTTCTTCCAAACTGGCCTGACTTTCTCCCTTGGGAAAGTTTGGAAGGAAGTTAACTTCAGCTCGTCTGGCTCGTTTTATGTTGGAGTGTGGGTGATCTTTGTCAGGGTTATTTTTGCTCCTTTTACCTGCGTTGACAGACACCTCCAAACATCCAGATCTTGACAGCTTGCCACGATAATCCCCCATCTTAAATTTCAGGCTCATTTTCCATCCATACCATCCACTCACACTTCCAGGCTCTTTAAGACAAGGATGAGATGTAACAAGAGCTTCAGCTGCCATACCCACATCATTGTCACTTGGGTAAGGTTTGAAGTTGTACATCACTGCAGCCATGTTCTCCAAGATGTTGTGCTTTTGGGATCTGGTTAATTTCAGTGTCTTTCCAGAAGTTGCAAAGGCACTGTTTCCCTCTTCAAGTACATGCTCCACTTCATAAGAAATATTTGGCACAGGGAAGATGTAAGGCCAGGACTTCTGACGCTGGCTTATAGGCACAAGAGGAAGGATGTCGGTATCAGAAGATGCAGATGAGCTGGTATCAGTTTCTGATCTGATAATTTTCAATGTCGCCTTCTGAGGTAACTCTTGAATATCAACTAGACAGCTGAGTTGTCCACCAAAGTCAGGATCCTCATAATGCAAGGTAAACTCAAAGTCCAGTCTTGGCTTGGCTTTTTCTCGCAGTATGTTGATTAGTTCTTTCACCGACTCTGGTTGCTCAATCAAAGTTACCTTTATAGCAACATCTGTGGTAACATAAACACGCAGCAGAAATTTTGGGGTTGCTGCCATCTTCTGAGGGACAAATCTATGTATAAAGATTGACATGGAAAAATAAGCTGATTTAGTAGTGCATAAAAAATGTAACAGCTAATTATCACCCTTTACATACTGGAAGTTTACCCTTGTGTTAAAATATGATTTAAGATCTACTAAGCTTTTTTCTTAAATCACAAGATGTAAATGTACTTTCAGTGCAACAGTATGAATCATTTGAGCGTCAACAGCAATTTTCCTTCTACACTGTATGCAGAGAGGGGTGAGTTGTCATTGAGCTCTGATACACTGTGGACAGTTTCATTGCCTAGGAAAAGTTCATATGATCTCAGGTGTTCAATGTAGTGTGATTTGTGTCCTTGGCAAAGAAAAGTGACATCATTGTTAACAAGGAGGATCTGCTGAATTTTGCTAAACTGAGGCAGTCCCCCCTCCTGCCCTACAGATACAAACATCCCAACATCATAATCAGTACCATCAATAATGATTTTTGATGTGCTGTAAATCAGGTTGCTGTCTGTTTTTTCCTTAATGTGTTCTTTTGCAAACTTGCAGAGATGATACGTTAACTATTAACCCATAACCTTAACGTTGAGTAAAAGTTACAGCTAACTTTAGCCACTAGCTCATTTGGGTGCATGTAGGTTAGCTAGAAATAACATCACATTCAACTTACCAAAGCAGGGCGCTTAACACAAACAGTAGCAACACACTCAAAAACGGAAGGACTATCGCTTGCTGAAAAGAGTTATTGACTAACATTAACATAATTGTCTAGCCGCGACATTAACAGTACACATGATATTAACACTCACTAGCAGGCGGACTGACGGTAACTTAATGGCGCTGGCGCTTTCGGCGCATAAAAAACGTGCGCGGCACCGTGAGGCTGCGCGCTAGCAACTTATAGGCTATATTAAAAATAGCATCGTCTAACAGTCAAATATCACGTGAAATATGATATTCCCAATGTTACAACAAGCAAAGTAGTTTTGAAGTGTTTTGGCTTACCTTAAAGTTTAATGCTTGATACCACGCATAGACACCACATTGCTCGAGAGGGTAGCCATCTTGGATAGATTTTTCAGGTAACGTCAGTTAGGATGGCACGTCATGACGTCATATCACGTGATCGACAGTACACTTAAAAATATTGAGTGAACCAGCGGTGTTCACTCAGAAATGCTGAGCCATGTAAATACAAAAATACATATTTGTTTATAGACATTAATAGTTTAAAGGTGGATTAACTCAGCAAGAGATTTTAACTGTAGCGACCTCAGTCTTTATAAGCTAGTAGTACTGTTCGGGCTTACAGTGCATTAGCACCTCCTCTCTGAAAACACATTCTACATGCATGGAGGCTGCAGCAAATATGGAAACATTTGTGATCCTGGGAGCCATTTCAGGTGAGGTTTTATCACTTCATGATTTGTTTGTTGCTTGTCAGAAAGAAACAATTCTAAAACACTTAACACCCAGTTCTTCTGTCATTGTCATGTTATGATTATTCAGGTTATATAAGTAGTTAAATGTTCAAAAGCAGACAGAATATTATTTTTAAGATTGATTATCACAGGCCCTGCGATGGATTAGCGACCTGTCCAGGGTGTACCCTGCCTTTCGCCCGATGTCAGCTGGGATTGGCTGCAGCCCCCCACGACCCTGTACGCAGGATAAGCGATTGACGATGGATGGATGGATTAATTGATTATCACAGTTTGATAAAATGTAAACTCAAAGCTTCTGTCATTCGGTCAGCTGTCGGCCTTATAACAACAAAACTCTGAGATATCAAACATCTCAGCCTTCAGCTGTAACTGTACTAGGTAAGTTGTGATAGGTTTTTAGTTTAGTTTTTTTAGTAGTGAAATGAAGATGGCATTTCAGTGTCAACAAATGGTCTTTGAATGTAGTAAGTAATTGAATCAGTTAGTATTCTATTAAAATCAAATGAAGAACAGGACACAAAAATATGATAGATGTGTGGTTCATGTCTTAAGTTTAAAAAAATAAGAAAAATAAAACATATCCATCCATCCATCGTCAACCGCTTATCCTGCGTACAGGGTCGCAGGGCGAAAATCATGAAAAATAAAAATAAAACACAAATAAAACAAACAATCAAATACCTTTGAGTTTACATTTTAACACTTACAATCTTATCCTTATATTATCCCTTAAATTACTTTAAGTTTGTATGTTTATTACTCATTAGGTTTACTGGATGATTGGTGCCTTTACTGACAGGATTGAACATGCAACACCTGAATGTTCCCTGGTCATAGCAGGTCACAGTGACTATAGTGAGAGTGGAGCTCAGCCAGAGGAACAAGAGGGAGGATTAGACTGTTTATGCTGCTCCCTGATAAAAGAAAAAATGTTTCTGCTGATACCTTTTGATTTTGACGGTTACGCCTCCCAGCAGCTAAAAAAAACCCACACACAATTAACTTGTGACTACAGGATTTTAAAGGACATAGAGTACAATATGAACCAGTAATGGCTGCCTATGGCTTTCTACTTAAACTGATCTGCAAAATTATGGTCTCTGCATGTAGATATCATACCAGAATGTCTGTCAAAAGGGCGTTGGTTCAGTTTAAGGGAATTTTTCTTTTAAAGCAACCAGCCATTCTCAATTTCCCCTGCCCGAATCAATTATCTCTAAATAAGTCCTATTGTATCTATTCCAATAAAAGATAAATCACGGTAATTCCTCTCCTCTCCCCTGCTCATCACCTCACCCGTCTTCTCTTCCTCTACTGTCCTCTAATGACCCTTCTCCTGTCCACCCCTACCCTCATCTCTCTTCCTGTCTTCTCCTTTCAGCTCCTTCACTTTTCTCACCTGCTTCCTTTCCTCTACTTTCCTTCACATTTCCTCATCTTGTCCATCCCTGCTTTCCTTCCTTCCTTCTTAAGACCCTGAACTATCAAGTTATATAACTGTTAATGGTTCTTAAACATATACATGCCAATGTTGGTATGAAGGCCAACTTACCAATCACAACATCTCTTATCTGTAGGCGCTGAAAGCCAATCTTTCCATTTATTCCTCTCATGTTGATATTCTTCGCCAAGGATTTTGTAATCATTGCGTGCATAATCCTCCAAACACACTCACGAATGTCAGTCCCCCCTTTGAGAGCCAGCGTGTTCACCTGAAATCATATTTCTTAATTAGTTTTCCCCCCCAGCAATGGTTTCATATTTACGTATTTTAAGTAATGGATAGAATGTATAGCATAAGTAAGTGGTGTTCCTGTAGCTAGCTGCTTAGTTTTGATGGATTTACTTATCATGGCAACTTTTAAATTTCAGGCAACAAGGAAGAATGTTGTTTCAACATAAAAAAAGTACAGTTTTGCAACAAACACTTGTAGCATACATTTATGATTATGGCAGTTGACGGAAAATAAATTTAAGGCTGGTTTTGTCCTTTAAAGTTAGTTTTAAAATATATAAACCCACATGAAAAACATGTTACACTGTGCTTAAGCAGGGTACCCCCAAGATTGTCCGAATTAAATTTAAGACTTTTAAAGACCTTTGTAATACCACTTAGAATGAAATTTAATGCCAATTTAACAGCCATACTGGCAAAAGTATGAAGGATATAATGGAAAATCAGTATGGATTTTACCAGGTACTTAAATTTTAATATACATTTGTGCACACTCCATGATCACACTAAACTTTAAGATTAGTTCAGTAGTTGATAGATTATTTTTAATGAATAAGAGACAGCAGCAAAGGTTGTTGCCTGTTTAAGACCTGGTGGCCTAATTGTTAAAGAAACAGTAATATTATTCAGGAAACTCAGATCAAACAGCTGATCAGTCTCTGTTGATAAACTTTAGGGAAAAGTTTGACATTTCAACTCTGGCGGGCGCGTGAGACGAGCCGCGACAGTTTCACGGGATTCGTGCCAGCTACACAGAAGCCGTTGCCATGGTTACCTCGTGGAGTGCTTGTTTGCCTGAGTGCAGAGCGACCACGCGGATCAAAGCTGTCTGAAAAGGCCTTACAAACCTTGTCGCAACCATTCACAAGAAATTAATTTAAAACTTGCCAAAACATAAGGACTTAAAAAGCTACCATTCATTCAAGTGTAGGCTATATAGTCTAGGTGATTGATCAATCGACAACAAAGTCAAAGTAAACATTAGATAGCCTATAACAAGCAATAATCAAAACATACCCAATTTATCCAATCTTACTGTCAACTTAGTGTTGTTCAGAAATAATACAGCTACTTACTAGTTACTTAGCATATACTCCTTAAAAAAGTAATATTAGCTACTCTCTTTTACTGGGTGATTAACGCCACTCTCACCCCATGAGTCCAAGCATCACTGGCAGCGGCCGGAGTTTCTTTCTGAGTTTCAAGTTGCTGTGTTGCTTTAGCTGATGCTTCAATTAGCTTAAGTATAAATGCAGAATTGTTCGCGGTCAAAAACTTTTTGCTGGTCGCACAAGGTTTACAACGGACGGCAATGTTCTTTGCATCTTAAACTGTGACACAATAATGGCAATAAAGTTATTTACAGCTGTCGAAAATACCTCTCTCTGCCTGTTCTCCACTTTTCCTTTAGCTTCTTGGCTAACAGCTGACTTGAACTGCAGAAGGGCCGGTGCCACTGAGCTGCAGCGCGGTCGCACATTCACGACAGGGATGGTGCGTTCAGTAGCGCAGTGTTATTTGGATTAGTAACTGTAATAATATAACTGTTTTGGAAGTAGTAATCCCTTACATTACTCTTTACCCGGAAAAGTAATATTGCAGTATTACTGCCCAACACGTTACGTACTACTGATGCGCGAGAGCCACTGTGGTACACACTGTACAGGAAGAAAACTTTACACATGTCAGCCTGTAGATGTCCTCAAATCCTTTCCATTTCACTCAGTGAGCTCCTGTTTAAATTGTTTTTATTACAGATCTGCATGATTCATGCGGGTCATATTTTCAGGTCGGAAAATCAGGAATTCCGGATTAATCCAGAAAAATCACATCCCTGATATCTAAATAGTATTTCCTTTTTGTTTTTGTATATAGTGTTTTGATCATAAAAAATTAAATGCTTTTTTATTACTTTTAAGTCCCTGCGGGTACCTGGTCAGGTTTTCATGAGAGAATTTAAGGAAAATAAAAGCTAGCCAGCTAAGTAGGAAACATGTCACTGTATTTGATATGCCAACATACCAACTGTTTCTGGAGGTCAGGAATACTCTGCAGTTGTTCCTCCAGGTTCTGAAGAGAACTGACGTCTTTGACGGGCAACAAATTTCGATCCAGGCCTATCTCTGCCTCATCAGTCGCTTTCATACCCTGTGGGGTCTTAAAGATGATGCGCAGTTGGTCCATCATCATTTCCTGTTTTGTTAATATACTACGCAGAAGGGCTAAGAAACAAAAGAAGAAGAAGAAGAAAACAAGCAAGAAAGATAGATTAGAAACAGTATAAAACTAGTTAAGCCACTGAACTGATAGTCTTATCTGACCTCTGTTAGTCATCTGTGTATACTTAATGTTGGAAGTCTTATTTTCCTCATTATCTGAAGAAACCATTTAGCCAAATAAAGAATTCATACAATGTAACAAACATCACTGAATACTCACAAGTTTGCAGACTGGATGTCTGCTCCCTGGTCTGGTGTGCCTCGGGGTGCCTTGATGGGAGTATACTGTAGATCGTTCGGTGTGCCTCGGCGTCCGGCGGCTCTCGGTGCTGGCGTGCCTCGGCGTCCGGCGGCTCTCGGTGCTGGCATGCCTCGGCGTCCGGTTCTCAGTGTTGGTGTGACAGCTTGAAGGAAACTTGGAAGTACAGGAGTGCTGACTTGGGCTTGGCTCAGGACTGCTGTTGCCACTTGGTGGGAAGTCAGAACTGCTGTTGCCACTTGGCTGGAGGTTCTGGCCTTGCTTCCCTGGCTTTAATGTAGGAGTTTTGTACTGCCTAGGGATCTTTGGAGCATTGGGCAATGTGATACTCGGCCAACGAATTTGGCTTAGAAGTACCACAAAACAGTCCGATCAACATTGGTTTCTTGGTGTATCTTTGCAACATACCAAGAATTGGCCAAAACTGTGTACTAGTACTCTTGCAAAGCGGCAGACCATCAAAATTCAACTGCAGTTTAAAAGCATGTCCGTCTGGCACTGTAGACCACACTTTATCTGAAATTTTCCTGATAGAATTCAGAATTCCACAATAGTGGAACACACCACCAGCTACACTGTTAATGTTGTAGCATGTTTTTGTTTTCAGCAGTGTTCGTCCATCCTTTGGCAGAGAGGGATGGTAGATTTTGAGAATGCTGAGAAGCGCTGACAGAGCTATTAGAGAAATACCAAATTCAACTGCCCAATCTGCCAGAGAGCTCCGCAAATCACCATCACTATGACTGCACTCCAAGACTTCAAGATCAGGCAGATCCTCAACAGAAGCAGTCTCTTCATATACTTCCTTTTCCTCAACATGAAGACACTGATCAGTTTCTTCATCACTAAATAGCATCTCAGATTCTTCTGAATCATCAACACAATCACCTAACTCTAAATTGGCATCCACCATCCCTCCCCTATCCAGCTCATTTTCAATCAATTTACTAACTGTCTTTAATGCCCTTCTTCGTGCATTGCCCCTATCATTGTACATCCACGCCTTTTCCATACCGTGACTTTCCTCAAACTTTTGTCCTTCAACCTGAAACAGACAAAGAAGAATATACCAAATTACAATTTTTTTTATGTTATATTTATTTAGCTTAAAATGAGAATGAAATATCAATGACAAGAGCTAAGCTATTCTGCAATTAAATATAGATTACATTAGGGTGTTCAATTATTGCAAAAGTCATAATCACAATTAATCTGGTAAATATTGAAATCACAATTATTTAAAACAATTACTGCCTTCGGGAACATCCTGCATTTATTGAACTTTTAAAATTGAATTCTTTTTTCTTTTAAAATAATAATGCATTAAGCCAAAATCCCAAATAAGAAATAGTAATCCAATAAAATTTGTATTAAGAGTGCAGTGAGTCAGCACTCTCTCTTTTTTCTCTGTAGTCTCGACCGTTGGCTCGTTCCAGTGACGTCGCTGTCCACGGCCCTGGTGCAGCCTACACTGAGTGGATACGTTGATAAATTCAATTGATTGACATCAGAACGTTAACGCCTACTATTTCCAGGGCCTTGTTTCAGAATTAAAATTCCCATTAGTTTTTCCTTTTCAGAAGATCACCATTTCAAGACGGCTTGAATGGAGCTAAATCCCTACAGGATCATGACATTATTTGAATTAATTCCTAACAAAAATAAATAAATCTTAAAACGTTTTTTTTTACTGGCAAGGTACAAAAATAGTGGAGGAGGTGTCTAGATTTTGTATTTTAAAAAAGAAAAAAAAACTCATCATGGGCCTAATTTCTTTAAATTTGTTTGTTTACAAATACAAGTCATGGATGTATGCTTTTAAATAATTATTAGCACCTTACTCAAAAATATCTGAAATTAAACTGTGGGACAAGACCGGTCATACATCTGTGGCCCACATTTCTAATTTGACATCTGGGCCAAATACAACGCTCAACAACTGGCCCATATCTTGTTTGCCGCCTTAAAGGCGGTGCCATTGTCTGCCACACCTGGGCCATGTTAGGTTCATATGCCTTATGCCAGTGCCGACTCAGTGCCAGCAGTGCCAGCTTTAAGCCAAATCTGGGCCAAATGTCACTGCTATGTGGGTATATTTGATTTGTTTTATGATTCACTGTCTAGTTAAAAATCTGAGTTCAGGTCTGAACAACAAACACACAACTTTCTTCGTTTATTAGAAAGATTTTTCTTTCTTTTATCTCTCCCATCAACTTTTATATTGGAGACAACTAAGGTCAGAGATAGCCAGAGAGTCTGTCAGCATAATTTATCTTCATTTCTATTCAGTCACATGTGAGGCTGGTCATTCCTGTGTTATAGTCCAAATAGAAGACAATAAAAGATAGTAAACACGTAGCACAAGGAGTCAGACAATTCACTAAACTGCACTAAAGTCTCTAATGAAGAATAATGTCACCTACAGCATCTGATGAAAGCAGCCAGCGGCTCTACGAGTAAAATCAGCTGATGAAAGTATGAATGCAAGCTGCTGTACTAAAAGAAAATCGTTTAAATTATATGATGGAACGCAGTGATCGATTGGTGAAGAGTGATGTGACTTGCAAATAAACTGTATGAAGTAGTGTTGAAGGATATCAGAAGAGTGTGTGTGTGTGCGCGTAGTAAGTGTAATTGTAATAGCAATAATAATAATGTATTTGATCAGTACATTCGTATATTTAGGCAATTCAGTATACTGTTGCTACTGTGGTGTCCGAACAATAATACTGCGATGATGTGTTGAGAAGAAATCCGCTTGACACTGTTCTCGATCATAAAAGTTTATTACATTAAGGAGTTCAGCATCAATTGCAAGCTTTGCAGCAGCTTGGAGAGTGACCCAGCCCGATGGCCACTCTGTCTCTCTGTACATCAAACACAGCTTATATAGGACATATAAGACATCTGTTAGACACCATATAAGGGTCTGCGTCCGCAAACTAAGGCACTAATCCATATAAGGGCACAGTTCTATAGGATAGGTGTAGGCATCTGTTAGACAAGGGTCTGAGTCTCCACATAACCACTGACCTCTACTCTCCCCTTAAAAGGTCACTAATCCTCTATCCAGCAGCTACAGTGCTATGTTAAACTGTTATGCGTCAAATGCACATATGTTATACACCACACTACGCTGTGTAGAGCTGGTTATTTTGCATGTGAAACAAAAAGTATTTGAACAATTTATTTAAATCCCTGTGCCTGTCCCTGACACACCCCTGTCCCTTAAGTCCCTGTCCTTGGTGCAGTCATTTATTTTAAATATATAAGAAATGCCCTTTTTGTTCACTTAAGCCACTGCCCCCCAAAAGGTCTGTGCAGGTCCCTGAGTCTACAGGCCTATACATGTTTATTTCAGAGGACACACAAATTAACACATTTTTTCACACAAATTCTGTGATCTTTTCTGAGTTTCAGACCAGTCAGTCAGAACTGAAGAAGTCCCTTGAATGGGGGACGAAATCTTCAACCAAGTCCAGTTGCCCTTGACTTTAACCTCCGTTGAATAACTATGACCTGGATGACTGAGAATCTTCACAGACATCAAGCACACCTCTTCCTCACTTCACGCAAGGAGGGGCGGCCCGGTGGAATACCTCACTCATGTTATCAGAGAACCGGGGTTACCTCTGTAATCTAAGTTCGCTTTCAAACGCTCAGTATCTCGCTATGGGGATATCCTGACTCCCGTATTGCCAGACAAGCTTGAAAACCAACTGCCAATCAAGAGGCCAACTTATCGCGACCTAAGAGGAGCCCACAGTCAACACGGTATGCGCTAGAGGATGAGAAAAGGCTTTGCCCTTATCCAGCAAGTCCTGTAGAAAACTGAGAATCACTGGCACCGAGCACTGGAAAGGCACTTCCTGCGACTTTGAACACCAGTCCTCAAACACATGCCATTTGGCACCATATAGTGACCTGGTAGAAGAAGCCCTAGCATTCTGAATGGTTGCGATGACATTCTGTGGAAGTCCAACCGTATCCAGGTTCAGCCTTTCACGGGCCAGGCCCAGAGCACCAACTGCTCCGATTGAGGATGAAATATCTCCCCCCGTGCCTGTGAAAGCAGGTCGCTGTGTAAAGGGAGAGGCCAGAGTTGGCTGTACAGGAGCTGGATGATGTCCGCCAACCAATGTTTCCCCAGCCAATGAGGGGCTATCAGGATGAGTGACAATCCCTGCTCCCGTACTCTGGCCAATGTGGGCAGAATCAGGGCCAGAGGTGGAAATGCATAAAGCAGAACCCGCGGCCACTCGTGTGCCAGCGCGTCTATCCCCATTGGTGCATCCCAATCCCTCAGGGAGAAGAAAATGGGATACTGAGTGTTCTCCCTCGAGGCATATAAAGGTACGCTAGGGCGACCGTAGCGAGCCCCAATCTGAGCAGCCACCTCTGGATGGAGTTCCCGTTCTCCACACAGAGGATTGCCTCTGGAGAGCAGGTCTGCTCCACAGTTCAGAACCCCAGGGACATGTGTGGCTTTCAGTGACAGGAGATGCACACTGCTCCACAAAATCAGTCTGTGAGCCAGTGTGTGCAACCGTGGGAGTCCGCAGACCCCCCTGTCTCTTGATGTAAGCTACCACAGTCGTGTTGTCTTACACCCTCCCCGCTGACAGGTGGGCTCTGAAGGAGACCGAGACCAGGGTCAGACCGATGGAGACTCTCTGACTGGGAATGAACATGCTCTTCTCCAGATTCACCCTGAACGCCAGGTCCTCGAGGAGGCGCAGAAGCAACCGTGTGTGCTCCAGCTCCCCCCAGTAGGACTATGCGGCTAGAAGCCAGTCATCGATGTACATGGCTATGCGGACACCCTGCTTTCTGAGAGGTGCAACAGCCGCCTCTGTACATTTGACCAACACCCGGGGGCTTAAGGAGAGACTGAATGGCAGGACCATATATTTGTAGGTCGTGCCGCAGAAGGTGAACCTCAGGAACTTCCTGTGAGGAGCACATATTGGTATGTGAAAATATGCATCCTTTAGATCGATTGAAGTGAACCAGTCACCTGGGCGCACAAAATGCAGCAGGGCAGTCTGCATCAGCATTCTGAACTTGTATGACCTGAGGTGCCTGTTCAGGTCGAGGATTAGGCAGAGCCCTGCCCCTTCTTTGGCATGAGAAAATACCTTGAGTAGAAGCCGCATTGGCTTTGCTCTCGAGGCACAACCTGTATTTCCCCTTTTGTCAACAGCAGCGATATCTCCTCCTGGAGTATCTGTGCTGACTTTCCCAGAGCATGAGAGAAAATTATCCTTGTGAACCAGGGAGGGCCGACAGCAAACTGGAGCCTGTACCCTCTGTCTGTTGTCCCAAGCACCCAAGCTGAGGCCCCACACATTCGCCAGCTCTCTCCCTTTGCAGAGAGAGGTGCTGTCCCAGCAGTCTCTACCACCGGGGGCACCCCCTTGTGCCAGAGCAGCACGGCACACCACAGGGGGCACAGTGTGGGAGGCCCGCACTGGTGAAGTGCTTATGTGGCCTGTCACCCCGGAAAAGGGAATTTCCGGTGGTGACGCAAAGGGTCTTATTTTCACAGTGTTTTTTAACAGTGCATATTTTTTTGTTTTTTTTCAGTGCCCACGGCAACATGCCTGGAGGCACAGGGGGTAACTTTATTGATTTGGGACACATGACAGTGCTTGTGAGACATACAGGGAGCATTGGAACAGCTCCTGTTTGTGAACAGTCTCTCTTCCTCTTTGTAGGGCGGGGAACTGTAGGTGCCAACT